ATTGAATCCCAACAAATGCACCTTTAGGGTAAGATCTGGAAAGCTACTAGGCTTCGTTATCAGTGGCAAAGGAATTAGAGTCGATCCTGCAAAAGTCAAAGCTATCTATGAAATGCCAGCTCCTCGTACCGAGAAGGAGGTAAGAGGATTATTAGGACGACTTAACTACATTTCTCGATTCATCTCTATCGTGACTGCTACTTGTGAACCACTCTTCAAGCTGATGAAGAAAGATCAATTAGTAAAATCGAATGACGACTGCCAAATAACTTTTGATAAGATCAAAGAATACTTACAAGATCCTTCAATCCTGATGCCACCAGTTGAAGGAAGACCTCTAATCATGTACTTAACCGTGTTAGAGAATTCAATGGGGTGTGTGCTGGGGCAACATAACGAGTCTAGTCGAAAAGAGCATGCAATATACTACCTTAGCAAAAAGTTTACCTACTGTGAAACAAGATATTCATGCTCGAGAAAACCTGTTGCGCTTTGGCATGGGCTGCTCGCCGACTAAGATAGTATATGTTGACTCATACTACTCTGTTGATCTCTAAAATGGATCCCATCAAGTAAATCTTTAAGAAGCCAGCTCTCTTCGGAAGAATAGCTCGATGGAAAATGATTTTAACTGAATACGATATCTAGTACACTACACAAAAAGCAATCAAAGGAAGTGTGATAGCATATCATTTGGCGCAATAAGCCGTGGATAACTACCAATCCATGAACTTTGAATTCCCGAATGAGAATATCATCTTGATTACAGATTGTGAAAGCCTAGACTGTATGAAGGACCTGAGAAAGGATCCCGATGGACTATGGTTTTTGATGGAGCTTCCAACACAGTGGGTAATATAATTGGTGTTGTGATCATTTCTCCCGAAGGTTGTCATATGCCTTTCACTTCCAGGCTTTGCTTTGACTGTACCAACAATATGGCTGAGTACGAGGCGTGCATCTTGGGTCTTAAAGCCGATATTGACCTAAGAATCAAATTTTTAAGTGTATATGGAGACTCAGCCTTGGTGGTCAGTCAAGTTAAAGGAGAGTGGGATACAAAACATCCAAATCTTATCCCTTACAAAGAACTTATGCTAACCTTGATCCCGTAATTCGAAGAGATTACCTTTGAACATATCTCGAGGGAAGAAAATCAGTTGGCATATGCTTTATCTACCATGTCATCCATGTTCAAGATCAAATGGGACAACAAAGCTCCCAGAATTACTGTCGAAAGATTTGACGAACCGACACACTGGTATGAGGTTGACACTGATGGAGTAGAGGAGAATCCTTGGTTTCACGAAGTGAAAAGATATCTTGAAGCTCAAGAATATCCTGAAGGGGCGTCAATCAACGACAAGAAATTTCTATGGAAGTTCTCTTCCAAGTTCTTCCTGAGCAATGGGATTCTATACAGGAGCAACCATGATTCAAATTTACTTCGTTGTATGGACAAGAAGGAAGCAGAGAAAATTATGGAGGACATGCACAAAGGCATCTTTGGTACTCACTCTAGTAGACATACTATGGCCAAGAAGATTATGAGAGTTGGCTACTATTGGTCGATCATGGAAACCGATTGTCACCTCCACTTAAGAACTTGCCATAAGTACCAAATTTACACTGATAAGGTTCATGTACCTCCAGTTACTTTGAATGTCATGACTGCTCCTTGGCCATTTTCAATGTGGCTGTTATACGATGGGAGAACTGACTTGGGATGTTTTGCGTTTGATTGCAAATTGTGCAATTTAGCAAGAGTCGCCACCGACTTTTCTTTTATCCAATGAAGGAAAGGGTGAAAAGAACAGTAAAGACCTTTAAGATTATTTCCTGAGTTTGGGGGGTAGATTATGAAAAGAGAAGGTGTTATCACCCTTTTCATCCATAGTTATCTATGGGCTTTTAGTTGCTTGCTAGATCACTTGATTTGTTTGAAAATGTGCTTTGTGGTGGTTTTTGAAAGTATTTTGAAAAGGCGCCTTCATTTAGGCAAACTTTGTAATGGCTCTCGTTTTGTAAGAACGTATACAAAGTGTTGGTATTTTGAAAATATTTCATGTTTTGAAAGTGTTTAGTGTGTATTTGTTTTGAAAGTGATCAAGAAACTAAGAACGTTTCTACCTACTCAAAAGCCTTTTGTTCATTTCTCTCCTTTCCTTTGATATTGCTATCTTACCATTGATTGGTAAGAAGCCTTATCTTTGGATGTAAAGGAACGAGCGTGGGTCATCGTATAGTCATGATAGCAATGTTGTGACATATCTTAGCCTTTCTCTTGAGGGACTAAGATCATTTGTAAGACAACATTTGTAGCGTCATCGAGGGACTATGATCTTGTATTTTTGATTGTTTTTGCTAAGACATCCCACATGCATAACATGACCATTTTTATAAGGCAACAAGTAGAATTACCCTAAGGGGTGCATATGTGAATAGTGTTTATTTTTTCATGCTTGGTTTATCTTGAATTAGGATTCTCTAAGCATTGATTTTATCTTTCCATACAAACCCTAATTTAATAGCATTGATATGAAAGCGATAAATTGCAGAAAATAAATTTACTACGCTATTACATCATTTGGGGATGGGGTATACAAATTTACAAATGGGGATTGAAAGAAATTAAACCTAATTATCTGTTACAACCATATTGAAACTTGAATAGTGTACAAGAATTGAAAGAAATATAATGTACAAGAATATAAATGGAAAAGAAATGGATTTTTGTTTAGATTTTGTTAAGGAAAATGGTTTTAACCTAATTATCTAAAAGAGAATAATTAATTAAAATAAATAAAATTAAACCCTAGTTTAAAAGAAATAAAATTAATCAAGAAAGCGTTTTTAGGGTTTTTAGAAAATGTTTTAAGTTTAATAAAAATAGTATAGAAATTAATTAATTAAAAGAAAACCTATATTCTAAGTTAGTTTTAATTAAAAAAGAAAATAACTAAACCTAAATCTAATTATTAATTCATTAAAAAAACGAAATTAAGTTTGTTTAAGAAAATATTTTGTCTTTTTATTTTTTTAAAAGGAATAAAATATAAGTATATAGAATGCAAATAATAAATAAAAATATATTTTTGGATTTTTAGATTTAATAAATAATAATAATAATAATAATAATATTAATAATAATAATAATAATAATAAAAATAATAAACTAAAGAAAATAAATGGAATTTAGGGTGTTTGTTAGGGAAAACAGTTTTTGTTTGAAGCCTGGCCCATTAGTGTTTTTGTTAATCAGCAAAAGAAAATACAATAAAAAAAACATTGGGCCTGTGTTGGAACAAGCAAGATGGGGGTGTTGTGCAGTAAAATGGAGCAGGCCCATCAAAGGAGGCCCATGCGCGCTATTGTTTGAAACAAAGAGAAAGGAAATGTTGGAAAAAAATGAAAAAAAGTGGCAGTGCTGGTGTAATACCCCAAATTTGTCCTACCCTTCTGTTGTACCCCAATTTTTGACCTAAGATCCCATTTTTATTTTTGCATTTTTAAAGATAAGTCAAGGTCACGAAATACAATCGGTTTTAATGCTTCACCTTCGAGCTTTGACTATGCGAAGATTGTCAAGTGTTTTGAACATTTTTAGCATATGTATCACTAATTTCTAATCGCATACAAAGGTGTATGTTCATGTTTTCTTTTGTGTCATGTGCAGAGACAGGTCTGAATCAAGAGTATCAGGTGTCGCACCTCAATTAAGGTTTTGAGTCTCCCAAGCCAGAAGTACGGTTGATTGTGGATTCTCGAAGACTGATTCATCAAGGCACAACTGTTGCACCCTAGATTTCGCCCCTAACAATGTTTTAATCGCACTTTCATATCATATTTTATTATTTGGTCACGATCATTAGTAAATATCTTCATTCATCATATTTTGCATCATTAGTCGTATTTAAGTTGACCAGAAAAAGTCAGTTTAAATCAAAGTTTGCATCGTCTTTCAGTTGTAAAATACCTGACATTTCACTTCATGCATTTTTATCTCTTTACTCGTTTCTTGCATCGTTCCAAGTTGTTTATATGTTGATAATAAAATATTTTGGTTTTATAGACAAACTGTTAAAAGCGATTCAACAATGTGCGAAAAATTAGCGAGAAAAAATATTTCAAGTTTTCACCTTTTACCGATCATTTTGTGAATCTGCATCTCGCATAGATTATGACGGTATGCTCGCTTTATTTTTTTGATACAGTTTGAAGTCTCATTTTTAACCTTAAACGTCTGTTTAGTCTGATATTTTTATTATTATTTTATTTTTGATTTTTTGACTTTTTGAATATTTTTTCTTTAATCTTTGTGACATGTAGATTATTTTAATGTGTTCATTTTATTTTTTTGGATAAATTTTCGTCCGTTTTTTATCATTTTTGGTCATTTTGGGTCTTTATATTTTATTCATAAAATATTCAAAAAAATCATTTTAAATTGAGTTAATTTTAATACATTTAGTTTTTTGGTTATTTTTATCATTTAAGGGCTTTTTGGTCACAAAAATATATTGGTTATACTGTACTCCATCCCTATTGGTTGCTGGCAGAATTTACGGATCGACACATATCACCTCACAAACCCACCAAGCCAGCATGTTCTCTTGGTTGTGTTTTCTTAGACTCTACTTTTGCCAATTTCTCTGGTCCCATGCCTACAAAAACGATCCTCTATTCAACAGCTTTGGGGGGGATTACTAGATGCATATTACTGAGTTTCGAATTTTTTTTTCAACCTTCTTCACTTCCCCAAGCGCAAATATTGCATATTACTTTAACTCAATATGATAGTTCAACTTATGGAACTACAAAACAGGTTGTTAACCACCCCCTTCAATTACATCACAGCAACCTCCATCTTCCAATTCCCATCATTAACATCTCCTTCTTTCTCCTTAACAACAACACTACTCCACTGTAAACCACCACCATTCAACCTTGTAAAACTCACAAAACCCCAGGTCCGAACTGATCTAAAGCTTGGATTTTTCATGGACACGAAGCTCCTGAAATTCCAGATCCTTCATGGGTCAATCCTCTGGCGCGTGTTCTTCCGTTCAATCATGCTAGCAGCTACCATTTCAACGGTTGCTCTCTTTCGCGTTTTATCTGACTTTGATTTGGGAAACTTGGTTCCCATTGCAAACAATTTCAACTGTTTTGCAGATTCAGATAACCCCAGTTCGAATTTCTTTCAGAATCGATTCTGGGTCAACATGGATCGTGAAAAAGACGTTAACTTGACTATGAACGTTGTCACTGAGTTAATGGGTAAGCAGTTTCTGAACTGTGAAGTGAATACCCTTTGTGTTGGTGAAGGTTCTTCAATGGCCGTTAAGGAAATGAAACAATTGGGTTTTTCAACTGTTAGTGGTGTTTACACCAACCGTTTTTTCACACTCAATATGAAGAGGATTGTCTATGAGTTGGATTATCAAGACTCTTCGTTTGATTTCATTTTGTCTAGAGATCTTGACAAGGTTTCTGTACCTGCTTTGCTTGTACTTGAGGTTGAACGTGTTCTTAAGCCTAATGGAATAGGTGCACTTCTTGTTGGTGCTACGAGTTTGCATCACAATGATTTGATTAGATCGGCGACACCGGCTTCGTCGTTGTTGAGATCTTCTAGTGTTGTTCATGTTGATGCTATTGATGATGGACTTAACCTTGTTATTTTCAAGAAAAGATATGAAAATGTGACAACTTTTTTTCAATCACCGTCAACTTAATTTACCTGCTGCTCCAAAACACCGATCTCGCTGTCTCAAATATTCAAGTCAAAGCTTCTGGTCCTTACGTCATTCTTGGACACATGAACTACCTCAAAACATTGACACTTTCTCATGCTAATCTCACTGGTTTCTTACCTGCTCACATTCATTCCAATCTCACCCATGTTGATTTTTCAGGTAATCAGCTTAAAGGAAATATACCCTTTTCAATTACCATACTTGATACTCTTCAAAGTTTGAATCTTTCTTCAAACAAACTTTCCGGTGAAATGCCCCCTTCCGTTTTTTTCTTTCTTCTCCATGACATCCTTTTTTTATTCTATTAATTATTCCTAAATAATACCTTTGTCTTATATAAATTGGATTTAAGCTGTGTTGCAATTTTAATTTCAAAATGTGATAATGGGGCACTTGGAGTTTAGGCATCACTATAGTGAGAACAATAAGGTGTTAAAAAAAATGTTTGTTTATTTTAGTATTACCATATCAACTATTTTTTTTATCAGCATGTTTAAGTGTTATCATTATTATTCCCTTAAATCTATCTATTATTTTGTTTTGTGTTTTAATTTCGTTTAATGAATATGTATCCATGAATGTATGGTTGGATTTAGTGTTGAAATAGTGTGAATATGGTTTCGTGACATTTTCAATTTTATTTTTTTAATACTTAACTGTTTGATTTTTATTAATGAAGGTATTGTTAAGTCTTTTATCTATTCGAAATTGATTTAATATTTGATATTGTAAATATATACTTGTACATAATATTTTGACTGTATATTTTACTTGTAAATAAATTCAGGTTTTGAAAATATTATTTCCATCGCATTGTGATTTTATTTTTAATTCCAACTAACTTCTGAAAATCGTACGGACGCACATAAGTTTTCCCGTGCGGTTAGTTTTGTCTATATATTTCATGTGATGCAGGGAATCTTATACCGTGAGCTTTATCGATCGTCCTTTGCGCTTTATCTGATGCTTGGAGTATTATCTCACATTAGGTTTTTTTTGATGCTGTCGGCTTGTGATTTATTTTCACCTAAGGTTTGATATACTCTTAGCTTATTTATCCGTCTGTGGTTTTTACTCCAAGGGAAAATTTAAATTTGTTGACTTCACGTCATCAAATACATCTCATCCGATCGTGCGAATACCCTTTTTTTGTTTGTTTACTACTTTGCTAAACTCAAGATAATTTTCCCAAAAGACTCCATTTTCAAACTCACACCTTTTAAGTTAAAACTTCAACACTAGGTCGTCGTATCTTCAAAAATCTCGTCCATACCCATCTTTTAGCCAAACGAATCATTTTAATCAAACAAACAATTTTAAACCAAAAACAGATATTTCAAAAGGTTCTTGCGGAGTACCGCAGATGCATTGGGTGCTAATACCTTCCCATTGTATAACCAACCCCCGAACTCTCGATCTCTTTTCAAAATGCATTGTATTTTCATTACTTTTAAGTATTATTATACATTGCATATTTTAGGGTTTTATTTCGCTCTTTTCCCTTTTCCCTTGGAAATAATAAAGCGCGGTGGCGACTCTTGCTTTTTGTGAGTCAAGTTAATTAATAGCTTGATCTCCGATTTTCACCGCTACACCTTCCAACAAGGATCATCTGGCTTATGCATCATCATATACATAACCTTCATTAGGTCAGCTAACACATCATGCATCATTAATCAATAATTTGGCACGGGATCGATGATATTGTGGAATTAGGGTCTCTATGGCTTTGTTGGTTCACATCTTTACTCAGGCTTGAATCAGTTGGTTTCCCAATAACCGTGGTTTGTGGAACTAGGGTTTGGATTCTTGATTATTGGGAACTTCTCCCCCATCAAGCTACAAGGCTGTCACCATCAGCTAAGGATCTTATTAAGTTGATGTTTTAGTTCTAGTTAATATCTCAAGAGGTTTCTTCATTCAAAAGGCACCAAAGTCGAGAGGAATATGGTTTCTTATTCACGGAGTTTTGAGCTTGCAATACCCATCAACTTAGTTTCATTGGATGTTCATGTCAAAGCTATCTTGGTCATATATAATTCCATATTCACTTCTCGATGGTTCTTTAAGGCATTGATATGGTATTGGTTGTCAAGTCAAGGGTTTGTGAATTGAATGATAATTTGGAATTGGAAGTTAAGGTCTCAAGGTGATTTGAACTTTTCATTGAGATTTGGAATTGCGGAATTGTAAATATGATCAAAGTTTTTAAAGTACGGGTAATTCATTCATGGTTTATCTTGAAATCAAAGAACAAGTCACAAGCTTCAATCAAAATTTTCAAGACATGATCATTCAAGAACATTCAAGGTTCATTCAAATTTCCACCAAGTATTAAAAGAGATTCAATAGTCATCAAGATTCAAGCAATTTCATCATACAAGCCAAGTATATCACCTATTCTATCACAACATCACCATCTCAAAGTTTCCAAAAGTCATGGCCATTTACACCATAAATCATTACATCATTTCAAGTATTTTCCAAGGTTACATTCCTGTCATACTTTAATACATCAGGAAAAAATTACAAGAAAGCATTAAATCTGAACCTAAGTGCCTAAGTCTTCCATCTTCATGACCAAGCATCATCTTCAATCTTATTCAAGCCACGACCCTAGTTCAACCTTTCTTCATCCACAATCTTCATTGCAAACTTCATGTCCATGCCTTCTTCTTCATGTTATGTCTCTTCAAACTCTTTGCCGACTTCAATCATCCATACCATCAAAACTGCTCCGATTTGCCTTGGCGCCAACTTGTACAACCAATGTTATAATTTTATCATTCACATATACAGACCAAGCATCAATGCATACATACTATCTACAAGCCTGCATACCATTTGAAATCTACAACAAACAGCCCTGCATCCGCAAAAGTCGACACAATATCCACAAATAAGTCCTTGTACTAACTGACAGCCCTGCATTAGTTCAAACAAAAAAATCCTAAAATATACTAACAGTTGACAATTATCAACCTAAAAAATCATTGTGCATGCATACATCCCCTACAAATTGAATTCACAACAATCAAAACAAAATTTCTAACAACAAAACCCCGCTAACTGAATCAAAAACTGTCAAAGAATCCAAAATCAGAAATAGTTTCTAACTAACCTATTCGGAACCAACTTCTAACTGATTCAAAACCAACTGTAACAAAAATCCAAAACAAGTTTCAACTAATTTTTTTCCTGCAGACTGTCTCACTAACCCCCATCATGCTAACAGAATTTCCAAAACAGAATTCTAACCAAAGCAATTTTCTTTTCATCTATTAACTAACTTGTAAAACTGTTTCTAACTAACAATTAGCAGCAATGAACTTGTAAACAAATTTCTCTAACCAACTCACTCTCAAAAACAGAATTCAACATAACTAACTACCACCTCCAATCTCATCCATCAAAATCCCTAACTAACATTCACATCAAGGGTTTAGATCAATCCAGGCCCTAACTAACTTCTGTAACAAACTTCTAACATAATTATATAACAGAACTCACCAGATTGATTTCATTTGGGGGGGGGGGGGGGATTATCTGAAGGTTCACCAGTACATAACTCTCTCTTCACTCTTCATTTATCAGAATCCTTCATCATCTTCCCCATTCTTCAATCATTCAGAAAAAATCACAGAATAAAACTCTCATCTTCTCTCTGCACTCTCTTGATTCAAGATCTCAACTTCAAAAATCTTCATCTTCTCGGACAATCTTCAACGCCTTTTCATCTCTGTAACCTCATCAACCTCGAACCTGAAATCATACACTTTTGTAATTATTCAATCATCTTCATACAACAACTTCGGTCTTCATCCGATTCATCACCTCCATAATAAATTACACCATATCGTATTCGCATATCATCATCATTTTCTGCAACATAGACTTCGACATCAAACTTGCAATGATAACACTCCATCGGTAACTCAGAAGAAGTAGAGGAAGTTTAAGATCACACATAAAAGAAAGTAGATTGGAGAAGGAGAAGATAAGCAGAAAGAATTTATACCTGTAATCACTATCGGAATCTCCCCTCTGGCCTTTGATACTCGCACCTCCAAGAGCTTCACAGGTAAGTACGCTCGTCTTCTCCGATTCTTCATTGTATTTTTCCATTCTTTCTTGATGCCATTGCATGGTTCAGAGAACACATAATCGTAACCCTATGCATATTGCGGAAATCCAAGTTACATGATCATGAATTGATGGTTTTCAGTTTTTAGGGTTTTGTTTCGATCTCAGATTCGATATGTTTGGTTAGAATCAAGAGAAATTACGAAGTTGATTGGACTTAGCAGGCGGAGATGAGATGAGATGAGGTTAGAGATGGTTATTCGGGATCGTGGTGGTGACGGCGGTGATATCGCCGAAAATCACAAGCAGGAGAGGAAGAAGGGATTTCTGTTAGGAAGGTCAAGAGACACAAACTAAACCCTAACCTCCTTGTATCAAAATGACATTGTTTTCCTCCTTTCTAACATCCAACTTAATGTTTTCATTTTTATTTTATTCATTAAATAAATCTAGAATAATTGGTTTTTTTTGTGATAAGGATTGGGTTGAATAGTACCAATAGATCAAGCCCAAATGTGTTTTTTTATGTGCAGAAGCTAATACCAGAAAAGGCTATTCTGGACCTTATGTCTGATGGGATTTAGCGCCAAGCTTTTGTTGCTGATCATAATCCCTGATTGCAACCTTGCACCCCCCGACCCTTTTATTTGCATTCTTAGGGTTGGTTTTCTTTTTGTAAAAAATATGATAAAGGCAATCAAATAAAAAATTAGTAGAATATAATAGAGGTTTCTAAGAATTAATTCTTTAGTTTTTTGGAGTTTCCCTTACATAAAAAAACTAACTAATAAATAAAAATACTTTTATTTTTGGTTTCTAAAAAACTAATAAATAAATAAAAAAAATACTTTTTTCTCTTTTTTTAGTTTTATCCATATTTGCATGCCGCTTCGCCA